CAACAACAACAACTGCGATCGGCATGAATCGCGAGGAACTTTCGAGCGATAGCGGGATTCCCAAGAAAATCGTATGAAACGCCAGAGCGAGACCGTTATTCTTGAGTGTCGAGGGCGCGGCGTCTGAATAAATTGCAAGGAAATCCCACGCGAGAGTGCGACTCCTGTATAAAGCGTGAAAATGTCCCGCGCGAGATCGCGATTTGGGAATACACTGTAAGGAAATATCAAGCGGGAACCGCTGTTGTTGTAAACCGGGGGCCAATAACCCGGTTTGGTGGCACTTCGCTCTCCCTTGTAAGAAGCCCTGGGAGGGCTGATCAACAATAATTCCTTTCGACGCATGAAAACTCAACAACGACAACAACAACTACAACAATTACGATAAGTTTGAAACTCTTCGTTCTTATTTGCTCGCATGCCATTCAACACGTATACCCCAAACCCTCGATACACGCCGCCTCCGTTTTCGATCGTACCCCCTTGGGGGTATATCTCTCTTACCTGCAACGTGTATTTCGTGGAGCCCCGAAAACAAGGGGAAGAGAGGACTGATGGAAGGAAGGGACAAGGGGGAGGGAGGAGGATGGAGCACGAGAGAGAGTAGCAGGAGGGGGGCTAGGCGCAGAAAACACGTGGCAGAACCAGACGGGCAAATCGGGCGGGTATACCCTAACAGGCGGGTCGGGAAGGCGGGCCCAGGCGGCCAGGTCGAGCAGGCGGGTTGCTGAGACGTGCGTCCTGCATGAATCACGGGGAAGTCTCGAGCGACAGCGCGATTCCCAAATAAATGGTAAAGAAATCCACAGCGAGAGCGTGATTCCTGAGTGTCGAGGGCGCGGCGTCTGAACAAAATGGCGGGAAAAAACGCGAGAGCGCGATTTCTGCATAAAGTGTGAGGAAGTCCCGCGCGAGAGCGCGAACCACACCAGCCATTTAAGGCGTAGGTGGTCTCGGGTGTTTCGTCTTCCATCTGCCCCTCTTCCCCTTCGGGGAGCTGTTCATCACTGCTTCCTTTTTTGTACATCCCCTCCCCCAGGCGACCGGCGGCCAACCAGGAACCATGAGGGCCGCCCCACTATCCCTATCAAAAAACAATACAAAACGCACTCTGCCTCCACATTTGGAGCATGCGCGGCCAACCCGATGCGCCCCCCCACATTCCCTCAACAAACAATACAAAGTTCACTTTGGGGCCAAGTCTTGAGTCATGTTCGTGAGGCCCGAGAGCACTTTGTACTGTTTTCGACACGGACGGCGGGGGTGTCAGCATCTTGCATGCTGCGCGCAACGCTACCATCCCTGACAAAAAGAATGCAAAATGCACCTCACGGCTAAATCTGGCTCATGCGCGGCCACCGGGCGATCACTGTCAAGTGGTTTTGACACGGACGGCGGGGGTGGTGGAGTATGGCCTGCTGTGCGCAGGCCCACCAGACACAATGATGGGCATTGCGTTCGACAAGGATGGTGAGGGCCGACATGTTTCCCGATGTGTGCTGTCACGTGCGCTGGCGCGCCTGACACACTCTGCGCGCGCACCGAAGGTGACGCACCTGGCGCGGCTGAGTATGCGGCACACCTGGCGCACGCGGAGCACGTGGCGCATCTGGTGCACCAGGCGTGCCTGGCGCGCTCGGGCCCCAGGGGTGCCTGGCGCGCGTGGCGCGCCTGGCACGCGTGGCGCACCTTGCCCCAGCGTCACTCACATCTGGTCGATTTTGGTTCCCAATAGCTGTCCATCCAAAGACGGCCGCTGAACATGCTGAGGTTCGGGTGTTAATTATGTGTTGGGAGGGCGGGTGGGAGTGAGCTAGACGGCGTGCTATCTCGGGGGGGTCTTGACACCTCCCCTACCCCATCCCCTGGACCTCGACGGGGGGTCTTCCGAGGGGTTGGAACGTCCAAGATGGCCCAAGATGGCTCCAAGAGCGCCTCGGAGAGCCCAAGATGAGCTCCAAGATGGCTCAAGATACCCCAAGATGCCTCAAAATGGCTCCCAAGATGCTCTGAGAGGCCCGAAGACCGCTCCAAGTGGCCAAAGAGCTCCCCAAGGAGGCCCCGAAGAAGCCAAAATCCGCTCAAAACCTAAGGAAGATCAATACTGTTTGCGTTCTCGCCTTTTCGCGTGCGATGACCATACGAAGCCTCAAAAGGGCTCCAAGAAAAGCTCCAGGGAGCCCCAAGACGGCCCCAAGAGCGTCCAAGAGCGCCCCCAGAGGGGCCCAAGAGGCGATTTTGGGCAATCTAGAATGGCGAGGCTCATTGGAGCTCCCCTCTGTTTGTATATATCTCCTCCCATATGGCCCGAAGAGCGCTCCCAAGGCACCCAAGAGAGCCCCAAAAGGGCCCCAAGAGGCGCCCAGTCGGCCCCCAAAGGCGCCCAAGACGCCTCCAAGAGACTCCCAAGAGGCCCCCAAAAGGCTTCAAGAGGATCCCCGAGGCACCCAAGATGCCCCCCAGACGTTCCAAGAGGCCTCCAAAAAACTCTCAAGAGGCATCCGAGAAGGCTCTCATGTTCGTCCTGGTTCCTCCTCCTCCTCCTCTTCCTCCTCCTTTTCCTCCTCTTCCTCCTTCTCCTCCTGCTACTCCTCCTCCCTGCTCCCTCTCCCTCCCCCACCTCGGACGGCTTCCCCAGCCCTCTGTTTTTTGTTCTGCATTCTGCCCCCCTTCCTTGATCATCTCAACTCCACTGATGGGAATTAATTGTAAGGCAATAGCAGGCGGGAGCCGCCGTTGTTGTAAACCAGGGGCCAACAACACAATGTAGTGAAATCTCGCTTTCCCTTGTAAAACAAATAGGGTGCGAGCCCCAGGAGAAGCGCTTCAATTAAAACAACGAATGGTTACCAGGGAGGGGGGTCAACAGCACTCTTCTAACGAAAAGAAAAACAACAACCATAACAACAGCAACCGCAACAGGAGCAACAACAACAACAACAGCTACAACAGCAACAACAACAGCAGCAACAACAACAGCAACAAAAACAGCAACAACAACAGCAACAACAACAACAACCATAACAACCATAACAACATCAACAACAACAACAACAACAGCAACAGCAACAGCAACAGCAACAACAACAACAACAACAACCACAGCAACAGCAACAACGACAACGACAATGACAACAACGACAACTACAACGACAACACCAATCAGTTTAAGACTGGTCGCTCTCACTGGCACGCGTGCTTTATATTCTGGATACCCCAACCCTCGATACCCGCCCGCTTCGTCTTCGATCGCACCCCATTTCGGGGGGAATATCTTCCTTGTCGGTCACTGACTGACGTGTGAGGAACTCTCGAGCGAGAGCGCCGTTCCTGAGTTCGGGGGCCTCTGAGAAACATCGAACGGGAACCACTGTCGCCGTGTCTGAGCCTCCGCCAACTTCCCTAAATTACAAGAAAATCTCGAGCGTGCGCGCCACTCTTGAGTTCGGGGGCCTCTCTGGCCAAGGGCCTCTGCAAATACATCTTGAGGAAGTATCGAACGAGAGCCCTTGTCGTCGTAGCTGGGCCTCCACCAATTTGACTGAATCGCGAGAAAGTCTCGAGCGAGAGCGCCGTTCCTGAGTTCGGGGGCCTTCCTGGCCAGGGTCTCTCGGAGTAAATAGTGAGAAGTATCGAACAGGAGCGTCTCTGGCCAGGATCTCTCGGGGTTAGTTGCGAGGAAGCATCAAGCGGGAGCCGTTGTCGTTGTAGCCGGGCCTCCAAGGGCACACTTTTACACTACCACTTAAGCCAACGCTCGCGCGGGAGCCTCGTTTTCAGCGAAAGTGTACCCCGGCGTCGAGGTGAGAGCGCGCGTAACTGTTTCCGGAGATCAGCAATAATTATTCTCTAGAAAGGGATATTCAACAATAACAACAACAACAACAACAACAACAACAACAACAACAACAACAACAGCAACAACCACAACAACAACGACAACGACAAGGACAACGACGACGACGACGACGACGACAACAACCAAAACAACAACAACAACAACAACAACAACAACAACAACAGCAACAACAGCAGCAACAATCACAACAACAGCAACAACAACAACAACCATGACAACAACAACAACAACCTCAACAACAACAGCAAAAACAAAAGCAAAACAACGGCAACAACAACGACGACGACGGCGGCGGCGACGGCGACGGCGAAAGCGACGGCGACGGCGACGGCGACGACGGCGACAACAATAACCAAGAACAAATCACAATCAAAAAGGTCACCCCCTTCCCTCAGGACACCCTTTGGCTCGTGGCGAGCTGTCGAAGTAGATGACGCGGCCCACAGTCGGGGTCCCGCAGTGGACAAACACCAGGATGCTCCCTGGGGCTGGGCTGGGAAGCCTACTCACTCGATCTGCGCCATGGGGGTGCTGCAGCGCTCTGGCCAGGTCAAACGGGGTGGGGGGGAACGAAGGGGAGCGGAGGAGAAAGGAAGCGGAAAGGAAAGAAAGCGGAAAGGTGAGGAAAGAGGAGGAGGGGGGGGAAGTGGAGGAGAGGGGGTGGAGGGGAAGGGGGGAGAGGGGGACGAGGAGACAGGGTGGAGAACGAAGGAGAAGGCACGGCCAGAGACAAGGGGGAGGGAGGGAGGGGAGGGAGGGAGCGAGAGATTGGAGGGGAAAAGAACGGAGACCATGACCAAGACTTGACGCGGAAGCGCCGTTTCGATCTTGGTCACAGTCGTATCTTGGTCAGGGTCCATTCGTGCAGCAACATCGCGAGTCGGCGACGGCCGACATGGACCATGACGAAGGTCGGCATCGATAAGATCGCGCGGCATCTTGGTAATGGTTCCCGCGTTTCTTCCCTCGAAGGGGGGAGGGGGGGCCCGAGCGCCGGCATCGTGATGCTTTACAACGTGGACTCTCCAGAGTCTTGGCCGCTTCCCAGGGGCCGGTTTTTCCTCCCGAGCTGCCTCTCGCCTACCCTGGATCCTGGTGAGTGCCCCTGGAGGCAGAAAAAACGGCAAAGGGCAACCCGTCGCTACTTCGGCACGACGCGAGTGAGGCCATGCCAGGAAAGGGGGAGGAGGAAGAGACACTTCGCCACGGCAGGTTCCCAGGCCCCACACGGATCGTACAGCATGCACCGCCGCTCGGAGGTCATGACGAAGTTCAGGAACCCCGTGGCCCAGCCGAGCATCAGCAGCGACGCGGAGGCCCAGCCCGCCAGTCTCTGCGCCTCCCACGGCAGGGCGTGGCCGCCCAGGCCGCCCCACGTCAGCCAGGAGCCCTGCGGCCCGAAGATGCCGCAGGTGGCCACAATCCACCCGAACGCCTGCACGCGGCACCCCTCCCTAGGCGAGAGGGAGGCCCTCCGAGAGAGCCCTGCCTCCCTCGCTTTCCTCCTCCTCCTCCTCTTCCTCTCTTCCTCCTCTACTCCTCCTCCTCCTCCTCCTCCTCCTCCTCCTCCTCCTCCTCTTCTCCTCCTTGTATTCCTCCTCTCCTCTTCCTCCTCTTCCTCCTCCTTCTCTTCCTCCTCCTCCTCCTCCTCCTCCTCCTCCTCCTCCTCCTCCTCCTCCTCCTCCTCCTCCTGTTCGGCCTCCTCCTGTTCCTCCTGCTCCGCCTCCCCCTCTTCCACCGCCGCCTCCTCCTCATCATCCTTTCCTCAGGGGCCACGAAGGGCAGCGAGGGGGCCACAAAGGGCTGAAACGGGGCAACGGGTCCACGAAGGGCAGCGAGGGGGCCACGAAGGGCTGCAACGGGGCCACGAAGGGCAGCGAGATCCCGATTCCTGAATAATCTGTGAGGGAGTCCAAAGCGTGAGCGCGACTCATGGGTGCCTGAGTGTCGGGAGCGCGGCGTTTGAGTACATTGCGGGAAATTCCAACGCAAAAGCGCTATTCTTGAACGAATTGCAAGCAAGTCTCCAGCGAGAGCGCGACTCCAGAGCGCCGAGAGAGCGATTCCTGAGTAAATTGTATGGAAGTCCCAAGCGAGAGCGCGACTCCGGAATAAAATGCGAGGAAGTCTCAGGCGGGAGCGGGTGTCCTGGCTAAATTGCGTGGAAGTCTTAGGCGGGAGCCGTTGTTGATCATAATTTTAAGACTGCTCGCCCTTATATGCTCGAGTGTCCAATAACCCGTATTTCCCAAACCCTCGATACCCGCCCTCTTCGTCTTCGATCGAACCCCTTTGGGGGGTATACCTTTCTTCCCTGCAGGCTGGGCCCTGGCAAGCGGCGGGGCGGCCGCGGACCGTCGGCCTGGCCAGCGGCAGCGCTGATCGGCGGGGCGGCCGCGGACCGTCGACCCGACCCCGAGAGGGACGGACAGGGGACCGACCACGACGACGACGACGACGACGACGACGACGACGACGACGACGACGTCGAAGACGACGGCGACGACGACGGCGACGACGAGCGAAAGCGAGAGCGAGAGAGAACGACAGCAGGGCCACGAAGGGTACGAAGTAGGCCACGAAGGGCGACAGCGGGGACACGAAGGGAATGCGTATGGGGCCACGAAGAGCGCGAACGAGCGGGGGCCACGAAGTGCAGATAATGCGGGGCCACAGAAGGCAACTATGGGGCCACTGAGGGTAGCAACTGGGCCACGTAGGACAGTGAGGGGGACACAAATGGCGACAGCGGGGCCACGAAGGGCATGCACATGGGGCCACAACGGGCGCGACTCCTGGGTGCCTGGGTGTCGGGAGCGCGGCGCTGGGGCAAATTGCGGGAAATTCCAACGCAAGGCCATTTTTCAATAAGTTGCAAGCAAGTCTCCAGCGAGAGCCCGACTCCAGAGCGCCGGGAAAAGGATTCCTGAATAAATTGCAAGGAAATCCCAAGCGAGAGCGCGACTCCGGAATAAAATGCGAGGAAGTCTCAGGCGGGAGCGGGGGTCCTGGCTAAATTGTGAGGAAGCCTCAGGCGGGAGCCGTTGTTGTTGTAACCCGGGGGCCAGGGGCCCAGTTTGAGCATCAAGACTTTCCCTGTCAGAAAACAGTGTGCGAGCGTCGAGGTGCACACTTTGATTGAGAAATACAGTATGCACTGGTGGGGGGGGGATCAACAATAATTATTCTTCAGAAATGAAAATTCAGCAGCAACAACAACAACAATCATTTTAAGACTGTTCGCCCCTATCTGCTCGAGTGTCGAATAACGCGAATTTTCCAAACCCTCGATACCCGCCCTTTTCGTCTTCGATCGAACCCCTTTTGGGGGGTATACCTTTCTTCCCTGCAGGCCGGGCCCCGGCAAGCGGCGGGGCGGCCGCGGACCGTCGGCCTGGCCAGCGGCAGCGCTGATCGGCGGGGCGGCCGCGGACCGTCGACCCGACCCCAAGAGGGACGGACAAGGGACCGACGACGACGACGACGACGACGACGACGTCGACGACGACGGCAACGATGGCGACGGCGACGACGACAACGACGAGCGAAAGCGAGAGCGACAGAGAACGACAGCAGAGCCACGAAGGACACGAAGTAGGCCACGAAGGGTGACAGCGGGGACACGAAGGGAATGCGTATGGGGCCACGAAGAGCGCGAACGAGCGTGGGCCACGAAGGGCTGATAATGCGGGGCCACAGAAGGCAACGATGGGGCCACAGAGGGTAGCACCTGGGCCACGTAGGACAATGAGGGGGCCACAAACGGCGACAGCGGGGCCACGAAGGGCATGCACATGGAGCCACAACGGGCGCGAACGAGCGGGGGCCACGAAGGGCATACGTATGTTGGGCCGCGGAGGGTAAGGACGGGGCCACTGAGGGCAGCGAGGGGGCCACGAAGGGCAGCGAGGGGGCCACGAAGGGCGACAGCGGGGCCACGAAGGGCATACATATGGGGCCACATCGGGCGCGAACGAGCGGGGGCCACGAAGGACATACATCTATGAGGCCACGAAGGGCAGCGAGGGGGCCACGAAGGGCTGCAACGGGGCCACGAAGGGCAGCGAGGGGGCCACGAAGGGCTGCAACGGGGCCACGAAACAAAGCGAGGGGGCCACGAAGGGCTGCAACGGAGCCACGAAACAAAGCCAGGGGGCCACGAAGGGCTGCAACGGGGCCACGAAGGGCAACGAGGAGGCCACGAGGGGCTGCAACGGGGCCACGAAACAAAACGAGGGGGCCACGAAGGGCGACAACGGGGCCACGAAACAAAGCGAGGGGGCCACGAAGGGCTGCAACGGGGCCACGAAACAAAGCGAGATCCCGTTTCCTATGTAATCTGTGATGGAGTCCTGAGCGTGAGCGCGACTCCTGGGTGCCTGGGTGTCGGGAGCGCGGCGCTGGAGTAAATTTCAAGAAATTCCAACGCAAGGGCGCTATTCTTCAGTAAGTTGCAAACAAGTCTCCAGCGAGAGCGCGACTCCAGAGCGCAGGAGGAGCGATTCCTGAATAAATCGCAAGGAATTCCCAAGTGAGAGCGCGATTCTTGAATAAAATGCGAGGAAGTCTCGGGCGGGAGCGGGGGTCCTGGCTAAATTGTGAAGAAGTCTGGGGCGGGAGCCGTTGTTGTTGTAACCCAAGGGCCAGGGGGCCAGTTTGAGCAGGAAGACTTTCCTTCACAAAAAAACAAAGTGCGAGCCCCGGGCGGGTGCACTTCAATTGAAAAAATCAATGTGCACCGGTGAGGGGGGACCACCAATAATTATTCTTCAAAATTGAGAGTTCAACAACAACAACAACAACAACAACAACAACAACAACAACAACAGCAGCAGCAGCAACAACAACAAGTACAACAACAACAACAACAACAACAACAACAACAACAACAACAACAACAACAACAACAACAACAACAACAACAACAACATCAACAATCATTTTAAGACTGTTCGCCCTTGTATGCTCGAGTGTCCAATAACCCGTATTTCCCAAACCCTCGATACCCGCCCTCTTCGTCTTCGATCGAACCCCTTTGGGGGGTATACCTTTTTTCCCTGCAGGCTGGGCCCCGGCAAGCGGCGGGGCGGCCGCGGACCGTCGGCCTGGCCAGCGGCAGCGCTGATCGGCGGGGCGGCCGCGGACCGTCGACCCGACCCCAAGAGGGACGACGACGACGACGACGACGACGACGACGACGACGACGTCGACGACGACGGCAACGACGGCGACGACGACGACGGCGACGACGAGCGAAAGCGAGAGCGAGAGAGAACGACAGCAGGGCCACGAAAAGCACGAAGTAAGCCACGAAGGGCGACAGCGGGGACACGAAGGGAACGGGGCCACGAAGAGCGCGAACGAGCGGGGGCCCGAAGTGCAGATAATGCTGGGCCACAGAAGGCAACTGTGGGGCCACTGAGGGTAGCACCTGGGCCACGTAGGACAGTGAGGGGGACGCAAATGGCGACAGCGGGGCCACGAAGGGCATGCACATAAGGCCACAACGAGCGCGACTCCTGGGTGCCCGGGTGTCGGGAGTGCGGCGCTTGGGCAAATTACAGGATATTCCAGCGCAAGGCCATTCTTCAGTAAGTTGCAAGCAAGTCTCCAGCGAGAGCGCGACTCCAGAGCGCCAGGAGAGCGATTCCTGAATAAATCGTAAGGAATTCCCAAGCGAGAGCGCGATTCCTGAATAAAATGCGAGGAAGTCTCGGGCGGGAGCGGGGGTCCTGGCTAAATTGTAAGGAAGCCTCAGGCGGGAGCCGTTGTTGCTGTAACCTGGGGGCCACGGGCCCAGTTAGAGCAGGAAGACTTTCCCTGCCAAAAAACACGGTGCGAGCGTCGAGGGGCACAACAATGCACCGGTGGGGGGGGATCAACAATAGTTATTCTTCAGAAATGAATTCAACAACAACAACAACAACAACAACAACAACAACAACAACAACAACAACAACAACAACAACCACAACAACAACAAAAACTTCGGATATCTGGGAAAGAAGGGGTTAGAGAACAGGGGGAGAAAGCAAGGGGAGGGGGTGAGGGACTGGGGACGGGGGGGCGGAGAACGCCTGCACACGCACGCTGTCGCGTATCCAGCGGGCCAGGTCCTCGACGAAGGCGGGCTGCGGGTAAGGCCCATCCGCTGCAGGAGGACCCTCTGCCTCCAGGACCCATTCTTCCCAGCCCTGGGCCGGGCCCGCCTGCATGACGTGCGCGGCCGTGGGGCAGCGGCCACCGGACTGACTCACACCCCGGGCCAAAGTTGGCAGCGATCACGACGAATCAACGGGACGACTGGCCAGGACTCCTCATTACCCCTCCCCCCTGCCTCCTCTCGTTGTGCGGTGCGTGAATCCAACCAGCCATTCAGGGCGTGACTGGTTTAGGAGGCTTCCTCTCCCAACCCCCTTCGTCCCATTCGGGGAGGGGTAATCACTGTTGACTAGTAATAAACACCCCCTCCCCCAGGCGACCAGCAGCGAACCAAGACCAATGAGAACCCCCCCCCATCCCTGTCAAAAAACCATCCGAAGCACACTCTGGGCAAAATCTTGGATGATGCTCGTGGGCCCCGCTGGCAACTTGCATTGTTTTGTTAACCAAGACGGCGGGAGGGGCCTTCATGCTGCCTGCTTCGCGCAAGGCCACCATCCCTGTCAAAAACAATACAACATGCACTTCGCGGCTAAATCTGGATCATGGGCGGCCACCCCGAAATTACTGTCCATCGGTGTTTGACAAGGACCGCGGGGGGCGCTGGCACATTGCCTGCTGTTTGCAGGCCGATCAGACACCATGATGGCCTCCCCGCCGCGATGGTGCACTGGTTTTCCGACAAGGATGGTGGGGCCAACATGTTTCCCGATGTGTGCTGTCACGTGCGCGGGCGCAACTGGCACACTCTGCGCGTGCCCTGGACGTGGCGCACCTGGAGCGGCTGGACCATGCGGCACTCATGGCGCACGTGGAGCACGTGGCGCATCTGGTGCGCGAGGCGTGCCTGGCACGCTTAGGCCACAGGGGATCGATCACCTCCAAGATGGCCCCAGGATGGCCCCCGAGGCTCCCCAGAGTGCCCCAAGAGGGCCCCAAGAGGCACCCAGGAGGCTCCAAGATGCCCTTAAGATGCCCCCAAGATGCCCCAAAAGCCTACCAAGAGACCCCCAGCAGGCACCAAGAGGCCTCCCCGTAGCACCCCACACGCTTCAAGAGGCCCCCCAGGCCGCCAAGAGGCCCCCAAGACGCCTCCACAGGCCTACAAGAAGCTCTCCAGAGACATCCGAAGAAACTCCGAGAAGCATCCGCGAGATCTCTCCTTTTCTGTTGACCCTCCTCCTCTTCCTCGTCCTCATCCGCCTAGTCTTTCTCCCTCCTCCCCTCTCCCACTTCCTTCCTCCCTCTCCCCCTTCCCCCTCCCCCCCTCCTCCTCCTCCTCCTCCTCCTCCTCTCTCTCCTCCTCCTCCTCCTCCTCCCTCCTCCTCCCTCCTCTCTCCCTCCTCCTCCTCTCCTCCTCCTCCTCTCTCCTCCCTCCTCCTGCTCCTCCTCCTCCTCCTCCTCCTCCTCCTCCTCCTCCTCCTCTCCTCCTCCTTCCTTCGCCTCTTCCTCCTCCTCCTCCTCCTCCTCCTCCTCCTCCTCCTCCTCCTCCTCCTCCTCTTCCTCCTCCTCCCCCTATTGAGGCATGACGGTTTCCCAGTCTCTATTCCACTACATGCCCTCCCACATGCCTAATCAGAGCAATTCGCCTGGGCGTCGTTTCTGGATGGGCTGGTGGGGTTGCGCGAAGCGTCTAGAATATAGTATTGTTGGCCATCTGGACCGCAGGGGACATTCGCATGCAGCACGTTCGTTTCCTCTTTCAGGCCACGCTTCACTGCATGAGTATGCCCATGGCACGGGTCTGTCGTTGCGTTGCTCTTCGGCTCGAGACTTTCGCCGAGCACGTTTTTTTGGCCAGGTGAATCAAGCAGTGGTCATGGTCATTGTGACGACGGCGACGACAGGGACACTGCAGATGATGGGGAAATCAGAAGATACCGATACTGGTCTCCCTAGACCTGTCCCGCGGTGCGTTCTGACAAAATTTTCGAGGCGATTCCAGCGGTGGCGACGAGGGCCTTTCACGCTACGTCACGTTACGCCCGATGGGCCACAAGGCCGATGCAATCTAGAACTCGAGGAAAAAATGTGGGCCGGTGCCTCTGCACCCGGCCAGTTATGCGATCGTCTGTCATCGAATGCTGCTATGACAGGCAGGAACGGAAGCAGAAGCGGGGCGGGGAGGGGAGGGGGGGCGGAGGGGGGAGAACTGGAAAAATCTCTCAAATCTCGCTCGTGGGGACTTTCACGGAGTCGCCAAGCATACAACAAAGAGCACAATTGTGAGATCAGTCCGTCTTTGACTCGTTGTACTAACGAGTCTCTCTGTCCGTTGCGTCTGGTGCTCCATTCTTCGATGCCCAAACAGGCCTAGGCCCAAAAAGAGAGGGTAGGGCAGCTGCACGGGCACCACTTCCTCCTCCGAGCCCAAAGCCATCAGGATCAGAGGCACCTCAACGCATGCTGCAACCATCAGCGGCTCTCAAAACAAAACGCAAGAAGCATATGGTGATGATCTGGGCGCCCGCCGAGGAAAAGGAATGCCAAGGGCGGGCGCGGGTGCGGCGAACGGTTGCGCGATGCCGCGCGGCGGGTGCGCAGGCAGGCAGGCAGGCAGGCAATCCGATCGAGTCAATGCTCGGCCCAGAATCAGGCGCGACTGCGTTGAACCTCAAGCCTCACTCTTGGAACCCGAGGGAAAACGCACGAAGTCCTCTTCGTGCTCGTGAGAAGAATTGTCCGCACTCGATTCATACCAGTCGCTTTCATAATACTCCTTTGCAAACTTGCGCAGATAGTCGCCCCATCTCACAGCGGGTCGCCTGCGCGATCGCCCAGCCTCAGGACACGTCGCAGGTAGGTGCCAACGCGATACTCTTGCAGGCCAGCTGTCCGACATCGTGCCAACACGATGAGCCAGCATGCATCGCCGTCGTAGCAACTGGACGCTCCAGTCTTCCATTGAGTAAGTTGTTAGAGCAGCATTCACTTTCAGCCTCGCCCCCCGCATTGCTCCATCCCGCGGCTCATCCCCCACGCGATCCCACCCAACAAGTGTTCGAAGCATCCTCCGCTGAAGCACATCTAATGAGCTGATTTGTGTCCGCGACATTGCACAAGACGAAAGGCCGAACAACATCGTTGGAGCGATTACTGCGTCGAAGAACTTGATCCGGGAGCATATGCGCAGCTGCTTGTCCATTAGAACGTCACGATGCTGATGAGATCTCATCCATGCCATTTGAATCCGGCGGCCAAACTGAAGGAGACTCCTCGAACGGAGGCTGCCGCACAGCTTCCTCCCCAAATATTTGCGGGCCACATCGCCGTCCAGGACTTCCGCGGGCTCGCCCCCGATGTCCAACGAACCCAGATGGACATCGCGCGCCGTCGCAAGTACCTTGATCTTTCCGGCGTTCAGGTCGAGACCGACTTTCGCAAGTTCCTCTTTGAGCGCCGTCGCCATTCTGATGAGATCCGCACGCGATGCCGCGAAAATCATGAGGTCGTCCGCGCATCTGGCGTTTGTTGAGGCGCCCCCTTCATCAACTCGAACTCCCTTCCCGATTATCCTGGCCTTCAATTTGCGAAGCGCTGCGTCGACCCCCGCGCTAAGAAGCAGCGGGCCCAGGATGCGCCCTCGCTCAACGCCTCGCTGCATCTCGAAACGACGGGAACCACGAACTCGCCCGCGTTGGTTTGCATAGATGACTGACAACATGGCGACGCATTCGTCTCCCACACCTTGGCTCCGGAGCGAATCAAGCAGCGATTGAAATTCGATTCGATCGAAGGCCTGGCTCAGGCCCAAACATCAACTCCACATGGACACATTCCATTCCAAACACTTGCCACAGACAGTCGAATATAATGAAGGCGTCGCCCACCGATCTTTTACATACGAAACCAACTTGGTCGCCCGATTGGCGCGCGCCCAGCGCTCCACGAAGGCGGCGGCACAACAGACGCGCGAAGAGTTTGCATGCTATTCTTAGCATTGCGACGGGCCTCCAGCTCTGCGGAAGTCCCAGGTCACCAGTCCTCGGTAGCATCGAAATTACTGTCTCTCTCCAGGTCGGGTCAAGCACGCCCTCCTGCAACATCTTATTAAACAGGTCCAGTAGAAGGCCCAAGAAGTTATCTGAAGATTCTTTGAACATGCCCGCGACGACCCCAACCTCATCTGAAGCCCTCCGAAGTTTCATCGGTTTCAGTGCACGCCGAAATTCACATATAGTTAAGGGCGTATTCTCGTAGAGCAGCTGTCCATCATAGACTGTAGATACGCAGAAGCTGACTCAGAGGAGTACGACCATCCAACCCTGAAGATCCTCTCCAGATAGGTGGAGAAATCACCCCGCCCAGCCTGCGCACCAGATCCAACTTCAGAGGAACATGCCGGTAGTCGCCCTGCGTCGCCGATCCGGTCGAGCTCGATGAACTCGTCGAGAATAAATTGGAGCCGTTGACTTTTTCTGTTTTCTGAGCTCCCTGCGGACATGTTTCCGGATCTGTTTAGAGAGCCCTCTGCGCTGCTGGGGGTCGCGTGTACGACGCCCCTGTTGAAGAGAGTCCCGAAGGTGAGGTGAGTCCCGCGGCCGATCGTTGAACCGTCGTCGCTTGCTGCGCACGCCCTCTCCATGAGCCACAGCTGCGTCGAAAAGAATCGCTTCTGCTTCGAACGACGCCGACGGCGCATGGTCTGCGAGCTTCTCGCCCAAAGCCTACTGGAAAACAGCGCAGTCTTCGGAGGGGGCCCACCCTCGCATCGACGATCTTGCCCCCTCGGCTCGCCGGCGCGAGACCCCCCCGAGAACAAGCCCCACGTTCACGGCGCGGCGATCCGGCCCCAAGTCCACACGTCCCGACGCATTCCAAGTCGACACGTGCAGGTACGAAGACGCAAGAATGAAGTCAATCCTCCGAACGGGCCCCAAACTGCTCTCAACGGTCCAACTGCGCTCATCGCGCCCATTCCCATCACCATTGACCTACTTCGAGTTGAAAGCGGCCGCCATCTCAGCCCCGCAATCCCCATTGCGAATTGAGATCGCCCCCCACCACGACTGCATTTCCGTCTCGAACTGCTACCGTCAGCGCCTGGCGCACT